AAGCTGATGCAGGAACAAACCAAAAAAATCTGAATCCTGTTTCTCACTGAGTCCATTTAATGAGACTTTTTAAAGGTTTGAAAGCTAAGGAATCTGTGTGCATTCGTGCTGAATCCCAGATTCCAGCTTCTCGGGTTTCTCAGGAAAAGACGATGTTCCACTCATAGGAAGCCGTCTGACCACAGAACAGGTTCCCAAGGTCTTCGGTCCCTCTGAGATGATCTCAGAGCTGAAATCTGTCTTCCTATGACATGACGGGTGGGTCAGTAGCTTTGCTTTGAGTTTAGCTTTGAGCTTAGCTTTGTCTGATTCCTTAAGGATGGAGACAGGAGGAAAGATGCCAGAGGAACCAGAAGTGGATGAACCCCAGCAGCTCTGATGGAGGGATGGATCTTTTGTGTTCTTTAATACACCAAAAAAGCAAAAACAAGGCTTAAAATGACCAAAAAATTCAACAAAAATATTTTAAAGAAGGTTTAAATTATCAAAAATTTCTGCAAAAAAGGAAAAACAAGGCTTAAAATGACCAACAAATTCAGCAAAAAAGCAAAAATAAGGCATAAAATGACCAAAACATTCAGCAAAAAAGCAAAAACAAGGCTTAAAATGAATAAAAATTTCAGCAAAAAAGCAAAACTAAGGCTTAAAATGACCAAAAAGTTCTGCAAAAAAGCAAAAACAAGGCTTAAAATGAATAATAAATTCAGCAAAAAAGCAAAACTAAGGCTTAAAATGACCGAAAAATTCAGCAAAAAATAAAAAAACAGGCTAAAATGACCAAATATAAAGCACAAAATGCACAAACAGAGCTAAAAAGGAGCAGAACAAAGCCAAAAAAGCAGAGAAGAGCTTTGGGACGTCCTTCAAGAAGCTGGAGAGCTTTTCCTGGAGGCTCCTCACAGAGACGAGCTCTGGAGAGGCCAGAGATGGAGGAGGAAGAAGGGAGTAAAACATTTGTGGAAAACATGTGACCTGAGAAAGGAGAGGATACTGTGTTGGATCCATTTAAATGGAGGAACATCTGAGTGGGGAACTGTAGAAAACCACTGAGAAATAAGATTTTTTTATGTCTTTAGATGAAAGAAAATCATTTTAAAATCTTTTTGAAGGTATTTTAATTAAGGAAAATCCTTGAAAAATCATCTTTTTTGGAGTTTAAATGGAGGAAAAGCATTCAAAATCAGCTTTTAATTCTTTAGAGAAAGGAAAATCCTTAAAAAATCATCTTTTTAGGTCTATAGATGAAGGAAAATCCTTGAAAAATCAGATTTTTTGGTCTTTAGATGAATGAAAATCCTGGAAAAATCAGCTTTTTTGGTCTTGAGAGGAAGGAAAATCCTGGAAAAATCAGATTTTTTGGTCTTTAGATGAAGGAAAATCCTGGAAAAATCAGCTTTTTTGGTCTTTAGATGAAGGAAAATCATTGTTGTGTTCAAAGAGCTCAGAAATCTCAGCTTTTCCTTCTTTTTTACTCTAAAGGAAAATGCTTTTAGACATTTTCCACTAATCAGGTTCTGATTGTGGAATTTGGATGCTCAGAACCAAACAGCAAAAACATTTAATTAAATCTCTAAACAGACATTTTAAATCTAAAGATAAACCCACTGAGCCTCTATCAATAAAAACTACCTGAACCAGGACAAAGTCCAGGTTCTTAAACTGATCA